ACAGCGCCCCTAGAGGACAGAGTGGAACTGCACACAGGGTCTCCAAGGCTGTCAATCTTCACAGAAGCAAAGCCCAAACCACACCCACTGCCATGGAGTCCATTCCGACCCACAGCGCCCCTAGAGGACAGAGTGGAACTGCACACAGGGTCTCCAAGGCTGTCAATCATTTTGGAAGCCAGCTGTCTCATCTTTCTCCCACAGACCAGCTGGTGTGTTCGAACCGCCAGACCTCTGCTTACAGGCCAGGCCCATGTTGTATGCTGCCATCTGTGTCCAGGTGCAGGTTTGTTTTGGGCTGTGGTCATCAGGGGCTGTCTAACTTTGTTTTTGTTGACAGTCTCCATAGCAGTGGGTTACACACGGTAATCCAGCAGCTTCTGCACATACAGTTTAGTGGCGTTGGTGGTGTTCTCTGAGCCGGGCCGCCGTTCTCCTCCTCCTCCTCCAGTCTGTTCCTGCCCCATGAACAGCAGCCCGCTGCCTCGTAAGGGTCTCCTCTAATCTGTTGAGCAGCTTTTCTCACCTAAAGGAGCTCTGGTGGCACAGTAGGGTTTCAAGCTGCGGCCTCCCAGGCGGATTGCCCGAGAGCCTGCTGACCAGAAGGTTGGCAGTTCAAACCCATCAGCCGCTCTGCAGAAGGAAAATGGGCCAATCTACTTCCGTAACTGCCTTGGAAACCCAACGGGTCGCTGTGAATCATAATGGACTTGATGACATATTTTAATTTTTTTCTGTTATTGTGATTTTGGTAAATGTTTGCAGAGAAAATTGGGTTTCCATTCAAGAGCTGCCATGCGTTTTGTTTGGTGATGTCGATTGCGGTCCCACCGGCTAACAGCTCCCTTCCTGCTTCCTCCTTTCTTGTCTCTTGCTGCCTCCTGAGCTCCCTGCTGGGAGGGTGCTGCCGTCTCCTGGTGTGTGGGTGGTTGGTGTGAGGGGCCTCTGCGGTGCCCTGGTGTTACTGTGCGCCTTCAGGCTTGTCTGTTGTTTGGCTAAAAGTCCAGCCCGTGGACAGTTCAGCTGTGGCCCTGGGCGTGGGGGGGTCTTAGAGCAGCCTGTTGCTCCTTGGGAAGCGTCTCCTGTCTGGTTATAAAGGGACTTCAGAGGGAATTTTTGGTTTGAGTTTTAAAGATGACCTCGGGCAGTCGTTTGAGGGGTTCCTGTGGCCCCAGTGGTCCAGAAAGTCGAGTCTGAGAGTTTGTAGTTGGGGAACTTGTTCATCATCCCGGAGGGGAGCCCCGTCCCCACTGGCACGCGCCCCTCTCCCGTAGGTGGGCTCGTGCAGCACCCGTCCCTCTGTGTCTGGCTTCTTTGACTCAGCGTGATGTTAGCGGGCTTTATCTGTGTCATCGCGTGTGCTGGAGGCCCTCCCTGACCCCGCACTGCAATGACTGTGCCTAGGAAGCCACAGGCTGGGGGAGGATGTGGAGAACGGACCCTGTTCTTCCACTGCTGGTGGGAACGGCGGGCATAGCCGCGGCGGAAGGCGGCGTGGCGGAGCTGGAGGTTTGGTGTTGTCCAGCCGGCGCAGACTCTCCGCACCCTGCCCGCCTGCACTGCGCTCGCAGCCGTGACCCGTGTCTCGCAGCCGTGAGCCGTGTCTCGCAGCCGTGA